ATCAACCAGATTATTGCTAAAGCATTATTGCTGGTAAAGCTTTTCTAAAGCACTCCATGCTTCTAAAACGCCAGCATGAAGTACAGCAGGTACACGGCATCTGTGCATTTAAGAAAGCCCCAGAAAGGTTTGGGAAGTGACATTCATGACCGTCAATGTTCATCAACAAGACTTCTCTGGATCGAATGCTTCCTTTAACTTCATTTATGAGGTGGACTCTTCTAGGTCTGTACAAGCCAGGCTCAGAGTTCAGAGGGTGTTCATTCCAGTTATGACAGCGGCCAGGAGCAAGTGCAATCAGCCTAAAGAGTAGACAAGACGATATATTCCTGCGGTTTCAACTCACCTCCTCGGTGTATGTTCGAATAGGCTTCTACTTGATTTTCTATGAATTAAAAACCCTTGAACCAAATCGACCCCAGCTTAGGATCTCTTTAGCTTCTGCAGTTTCCTCTCTTAACTGGTGAATACATCCAACTGCCAACACAAAGCTTGTTGTGATGAATCGACTGCATTTGGGGCTCCAATTCTTCACCTCTCCTGTAACCTCCCCTTAGCCATTTAACTCTGTATGCCTTTCCGCTCTGCACACAGCCATGGGCTTGCTTCTGGGGAACACTGGTCAGCAGACACATGCAAACCTGAACAGGGGCTTGTGAGATTGGGCTTGGCTGCTCTTGCCCTCTGCCACTTCCATGAAAACATGCCTGGGCTAGCTGGTGGAGGACAAGAGAAATGTGGAATAGGGCTGAGTGGCTCCAGCCAAGGCCAACCCCCCTTGCAAGACTACCCAGGCATGACTAGAAAACCTGCCCAGAGCCGCCCCGCCTAAATCATTGCTCTAACTCATAAACTAAGCGCATGTTCACTGACGCACGCTACTGGGTTTTGGTGGTGGTTATGCATTACTTTTGTGGCAACAGATAATTGCTACAGATTTTTGACATCTTTGAGTGTGACATCTCTCTCACAGCTTCTGAGAGGAAGATTTGGTAGTAAAGACCTTCACTGTTAGCATCTCCTGACATTCTGCAGACTGCAGATTCAGTCATCTGAGAACCTACTTTGTGCAAAGTGCTCTCTCAAAGGGCTCTCATTTAATGCCTCATAACCATCCTCAAAAGGAACTTCCTCATTTTGGGGAATTTGAGGAAATAAAAAACTTGAGGCGAACTGATTAAATGAATTATCTCAAGTCACCATAAATTGGCAGAATCGGGGTCCAAACCCAAGACATCTGGTTCTGAGACCAGTTGCATTTTCCATTACATCAGAAATGATAACTAAGGCTTAAAACTAGCAGAATGTTATTCTGTCTGAAGTCATTAAAGACTTTTAGAAAAAATTTGTTTAAAGAAAGCAATTGAGCTTTTGTTCCATCATCCCAGATAACTGAAATATTTGAGCATTACAGGGCTATTTTCTTCAAGCATTCCACTCTTAAAATTCTTGTTGCTTAAATGGCCTTTAAAATATTACTATTCCCAACTGAGAAACACTCAACTAGAATGAATCATATAGACAGACACTCCACCATTTCCCTGTTTTAAAGGATTTTATGTTTAATATCCCTCTTTGGTTAATCACTAATTATGTAAATTGTAAATCTGAAGATTAGTTGTTCCTTGGTGGCGATACTAATTAGAAAAAAAGTACACCCATGCAAATATAAATTAGGAATAGTGGATACACAAAATATGAACTCATTTTCAAAGGTGATTTTTTTAAAGAATGTAGGAAGCCAGATTCTTAGACATCTCTGCCTTTTGTGACTTGGGATCTAAAAGAAGCATAGAAATAAATCAGCTAAATATTCTAAGATAAGGCAGTATTCTAAGGGTTTCTTTCATTGCTGGGCGTTGTAGAGGTAGATTAGAAAAGAGGGAAGCAGGACACAGAGAGAATGAAGTTGACATTTTGGCAAATGGAAATCACACCATACGAGATGTCTGTTATACAAACATTGCTAGAAACTTTGTACTCCCAAATTTAGTTTACCAAATCTAGCTTGATTTTAAAATATTTAATTTTATACTTAAGTTAAATTTAAGCAAGAGGATACTGGAACTGACAGGAAAATAATGCTTTGATTAAAAAGTAAACTTTTAGAGTAAAATATTTTGTCAGTGGTTGTCATTTTAGAAAAACTGAATTTTCCTCCCCTCAGATGTTTTTTATGCATATAACTTGTAGCAGAAAATTCCTCGTTTAACAACTTCAGAGCATAGGAAAAAAACCACAGTGGTTTGCAGGCCACTAATTCTGTTACAGATGAAAGCATTCAATTATCTCTGTAAGATTCAATTCCTTAGAAAATGTGTTTGTGATTGACCGAGTACATTTTTAAAACATGGTGATACCACATGCCATTATTCAAGACCTTAATTTAAAAGTTGGAAGGAAGTAGCTTGTGGTTCTTGGGTAAAACAAAGACACTAATCTTTTTTTTCCCCAACATAAAAAGGCAACCCTAGAGTATTTTTATTCCATATGTTAAGCGAGGCTTATTTAAATCTTCACTGTCCCACTACAGCTCAAACATACTTAAAAACTGCAAACCATCACTTAAAAGTGGGCAATCGTATGTATTAAAGTCTTATTTCCATGGCATTCATATTTAAAATAGTGTGATCAAATATAGTTTAGAGATATCTCATGAAAAAAACTTTTAATAAGATTTAAGATCAGAGTGACTTCTAGTTTAAGATCAAGATAGGTGGTCTCAATGGAGAACCACTATAGGTCAGTGTTAAGGCATCTGATACCTGCTACCTCTCATCAGAAAAACTACATACAGTATATACAAAATTCTGCACAAAACCTCGGAGGGTTGTCTAGATTAATAATCTCCAGTTGTAAATTTCACTTAATATACACATTTCAACTCCTCTCCCTTCCCCTCAAACCATCAGCCCGTCCTTGACTGGGGGTAGGGCTGCTACTCTTCTGTCCTTTGCTCTAGCTTGCCTGCTCAGCAGCAGTCTCATTGCAAGTTATGAAACCCAAGGTGTATTGCGGCTTTTACCTCCTGGAAGTCTAGGCTCTATTATTAGATATGGGTTTCATGGTAGCTTGTGGTTGTCAGTTTTCTACTCACCATACAGAGCAGTAGCTCAGGCTCAGCTTTCATACACATCTCAGACCCACAAGCAAGAGTTCTGTTCCAAGACCTCACTTTGACTGGCTTCGAAAGTCCTCTCCATCTATCCCACTTCAATACACCTTAAAGACCGAGCTCCAGTGGTGTCTTCTTCCAGGACATTTTCAGAAGCACCTTCTCTTCCCCTGTGATATCTTCCCTCAACTACTTGACAAATTTTTGAAGCGACTTTATCATCACATAGCATGAAGGAGGGTGCAGAGGCAGCCAACAAAACTATTGCAGACTGTAAAGAGTGGCAAATGCCTATCTCAAACTCCATGTATTCTATAAACTAATAATGTCACGTAGCTTAAACTAGAGCACAGTAACACATTCTACTCTTGTACCTTCTTAAAGAGCATGCTTAGTCTGTTTCAGCTTGTCGCTGAACTTGTCACACATAAATGATTCAATATTCTTGCCTTCTATTAACGTGGCCAAGTATTCTGCCTTCCTATGTGCAAACTAGCACGACTTTTGCTTTTTATTGGTTGAATGAACTCAACAAGTATTTCCATACCGCTCTCACTGTAGAAGGAAATAGCTTTGATGTGTGCCTTTGACTTTTTCTTCTGAATTCCTTCATTTGTGAACTGAATTTTCAGGTTGGCTTCATCATGTTTATTTTGATAAAAAGGACAAGTGTCTGTTAAAAAGGAAGCTGGACAACTGCAGGGTGTGACTATGCTCGAGTAGCAAATTAGCATGGACTCCTGTTTGGTGCTTGCAATGACTGCACTGGCGTACATCTGTTGACACTAACATGCCTGCTTCCCACACTAAGGGGCTTGTGATCTGTTCTGAAGCAAGGAGGAAAAAAGGATTCACCAACGAGGAGACAGCCCAAACATACAACATAATACTTCTCCCCCATGCTTCAGCCTCTTGAGGGTTGGGTGCCATTAGACACGAGGGTTGTTATAAACATCTCCCAGTGCAGATAACAAGTGTCACTAACAGGCTGATTGGCAGGAATGCTCCTGGGGTGAAGTGACAATGGAAAAGTATCTCTGCTAGTCTGTCAACTGAAGTGATATTTTAAGTTCAGTGTTGGAAGTTTCCTTTAAGGTTGTTTACCGAGGAATATGGTGTAACAATTTAAGCAGAATTTGCTACTTAAGGTTTTCTACCAATACAAAATTGTTAATGAAATCCATGCTAGTCTTCGGGCTGTTCAATACCGGGTAGGGTAGTGTATCAGCTTTTGAGGTCCCTTTTGTTGCATCCTAAAGCATGTTTTAAATGGCTTGAAGAAAATGGTCTGCTAACCAAAGAATTACTGATTCATACTAGGAACTGAGCTCCTGCAAGACACAAAGGAAGTTTGGTTGATCTAAAAAGACTTTTTAAGTTTTTCAATTATTTCACGATGATGACAGAGCTAATTATGACCACACTATGTCTCACTGAATATTTTTCAAAGGAGTATTCTCAAAAATAGCATTTTCTTTTTTGCTAAGAGTACATTTTGAGAGTAAATGTGAATTTTACCTTCAACTATGTCTTTATTTACAGAATAGATCATTAATTTGGCACAGGCACACTCTGAAATAAACTAAAATGCATAACTTACTAGCACTGTCGGGTATGTGCTGCGTGTGGGGGGGGGTATATTAAGCAATGCATATCTGTCTGCCAGGGGCATGGGATTAATTTCTTATATAACACCAAACTTGAAGTAAAAAAGATGTATTCTTAATCAGACCTCCATTATATGAAATACACACAAGAATTTTTTTGTTTCCATATAATTTAGGGCATGGACAGCAAAATATAACCCCCTCTAAAAAAGTTCAATTTTAAATCAAAATAAATTAAAACAATTAAAAATTAGTCCCATAATAACATGGTAAACAACTCAAATGGCTTTTTGTTTTAATGCTAGGAAAAACTGACCTTTCAAAGGTGAAAGTACTGTTAACACAGGTAGAGAGCAAACAAGGTAAAAAGTGAAAGCACGTACAGACACACACAAATATATATAAAAATTGACCAGAAATCACAGAACATTTAAGCAATGTTTTCTTAAGTAAAACTATTTTTTTTTTGTACTTTAAATAGACTAAAATATTTGGTGTGGGTAGGGGGAAAGAAAATCAGTATTTCACAATTTTAAATTGAAAACCAGCTGCAATAAAGCCTCAGCTTATTGTTTAATTTTAAAAAAATGGAACATTGTACTTTTGACAATCATAGGATTAAAGCTTACAAAGAACACATCTACCGTCTACATCACAGTGCACAGAGAATGCAGTCTCTGAGGACTACCACAGGGAAACAAGAACAGACTCTGCATCCATCACATTGCATTACAAAATTAATGCCGTATTAGAAAAATCTCACCTCCCATGGTCGGTGTTCTAGCTGGTAAGCACCTGAGGAGTAGGAGGCCATCAGAACTGAGGGCACAGCTCAGTCTGGATCAGGACACCAACTCGTTCACTTGCCAGTGGCTGATGCATTTAGTAATCTCAATACAATGTATATATATATATAACACCACAATTCTGGCTTTTTGAGCAGGATAGTCTGGGGAATGTAGTAGAGGACAGAGCATCACAGGCCGTATTTTCCCTCAAGAGAGAAGAAATCCACACCACCAATTTTCATTGTGAAAAATTTAAGTTTCAGATTACTTTAACCCCATAAAAGTGTGATTTGTACTTACATATACACACAGGATCTGAAAAACTTAGCTATCTAGTTGCCTCTTCTCTACCTCATTAAACCACTAGTTACCTTCCTTGGATTTCTAAGTGTTAGTCTCACCACCATGCTGGTGTCACTAGCTATTGTTAGGAAGTTCACATTCCATCCATAGTAATAAGTGATTGAAGGGCACATATCCAAGTATCAGAAACACTGACAGCCACAGGGCAGCTGAATTTCACCACAACTATTACAGCATTTAAGGGAGTATGGGGAAATCACAAGAATACCTGGGGTGATCAGCTTCTCCTGGGATGCCTGGGACTTTGCTGGGTTTGGCGCTGGAAATGCCACATCCAGTGGATCCCAGTCCCAGGCACCCCAGGGCAGTTGCTCCCCCTAGAAACAACACTCCTCCCTTGGTAACTCTAGAGAAAAGATAATTTTTCAAGAGCATAAGTCTACTTATGTGGGCATCAGCTCAAAAATATTTTTTGGGCACTTGCTAATGGCTAATTCCTATGAAGTCCATAAATATCTTATTTAATGGTGTCAACTTTAAGAACAGTTGGTGGTACTTAAGCAAATTTGTGAGCAATGTATATAAGTTCATCCCTGCAACCTGTTTTCAGACAAATCCTCTAACGATTCTGTTTTTGTCCGGTTATACAGTATTTTGCTGTATCTTTTTGAAATTTTCAGAGCTAAATGAATAATCCAGTTTTATATGTCTTTTCATATTCTATTTTTAGGTGAAAATACTTGTTGCCAGCTATTTCCCACATTCTTGCTTCATATATTGAAAAGAAGACTACCAACTGGAGATTATTTCCCTCAGATACAAAGGCCCTGAATTATGTTAATTTTAATAGTGCTCCCTCCACCAGAAGGTCTGGCCTTGGGGGAAAATGTCAAAAAGAATATTCTCAGATACAAAATTTTTATTTTGCCTACAATGCTGTGATCTTATTCAACAACTGAGAACTGCTTTCACCTTAATCTCTCTAGTTTTTCTTGTTTTGCCCTCTTGTATAAAAATGGTTAGTGTCACAGCTTCACTATCACTAATAAAAAGATACAAATATTTATGCCTTAAAGGTCAGGGTCAAAAAAGCAAAAATGAAGCCTGAGGTAAAGGTGGTCTAAGAAATGACCAATTTGGGTTCTGCATTTTGCCAAGAAATAGGGTTTTAAAAAAAACTTTAAATCATGCATATTACCTACTTGCTACATATATGATAATTATTTCTCCCAGTTTAATCTGTGTATATGTTAGTTACATAAACCAACAAATTACTACATTCTTAAGCAGGTACATACATTCAGGAGAAAAAGGCCCTATTCTTTCACCAGTATTTTTTTTCTGTTTGAACAATCCAAGAATTGTGAATAATGATGAAAGTGACAAGCAGATATTTTTTTAGGGACTTATTCAGAAAAGGAATCTCTCTTTGGAAGAAAAGACTTTAGAAGGACTTCTATTCCTACAAATGTTTAGAACCAACTCTATGCTACAGCATTGTAAAGGGTAGAACTTAATTTAGAACCAGAAATATGGCAAGTTCTCTAGTGACTAACACTGTAAAATAGCCAAAAGCTTTAAAGCCAGAGGGAGAAAGAACAGTAGAGTGTGAAATGGAAAATGTTATTTTTATAATTCTAAAACTTTACTTTTGTTCTTAACATCAATATATTATGGATTTCATTATTCCATAAATTATCTTTTTATTAGAAATAGGAAGCAAATCCCTATTCCCAACTCAAAAGAGCAAACTGGAAATTTTGGAGAAATTAAGAGCTTTTCCCCCCCCTGCCTTGGAGGGCAGAACATCATTTTTAGGGAATTTTTTTTGCAGGAAAAATCTAAAAGTCCTTTGTGTACAGTTAATAAATCCTTCTCACTCCCATTATCAGTGGCATTATTCTTTCAAGGGGTCCTTACATCTCAACTAATGGTGAAATTTAGTCTATTATGGATCTCAGAGCAGCAAAACAATTGATACTGAAATTAACTGAGGCTAATATACTCTAGTCAGATCTGTGAATTAGAGATGGCCCAAAGTACATTGGAAAGTCCACTTCTGTTGGGCACAGCTAAGAAAATCAGGTCTGTACCATCTTCAGGCTACCCTTAATACAGGACAACTTAACTTGGTAGTGGTACTTCCCAGGGTGTCTTAAGCAGTTATCTACACCAAAGGGGAAAGAATTAAGGGCAGGGGTGGGGAGCTACAATCTAACATTGTTAGTACCTTCCAGAGACCACTGAGTGTATAATTATTTAATGAGGGGGTATATGGCAGAGCTTTATTTTATGTTAATGAATTCCAGTTATGATTCTTAATTGTCATTGCACCTAAAATGGCATACTAACTGAATTGCCAAATTAGGACTCCGGCAGAAAAATAATTATACTCTGATGGTCTGTCCATGAAAGGAAAATGTCTGAAAGCAAATTAAGAATTTTTTAGTGAAACAACAGAAGCATTCAACATTTTAAAAATATATGCAGATGAATGATCCTTACTGTTAAGGTTTTTCTATGAGTGTACATGTATGTATATATAAATCCATACACACACATTATACAGTTTATTTCCTACTAAGAAGATTTAAGGCAGTTATTCTATCTATAAAGTTAGCTATAATATCCAAGATAAAACAGACCCTACTCAAGAAATTATGTGACCATGTTAGACAAGTTCTTCTCATAAAGGCCATCTAGATCTAGTATAGTTCCCATTTCCTGGCTGAGGCTACAAACACAGGAATTCCACACCAAGAGATCATTTGTCCCTCAATCCCCATACATAAAAGTAGTCTGAACAGACAAAATATTCATGGAAAGCTTGAAAAGGAAGATATGAAAGGAACTCAATAGTAGGATTCTGACGACCTCTAGAGACCACACACTATGATCGTTACTCTTGATTGTCCAATATGGTGCGAGGAGGAAACAGGGCTAGTATTGTAGGAAGATCACTGGCTGCACCTGCCAGAAAAGTTCATAATCCTAAACATACGTTGAAATAGAATCTGCTATTTGCTAGTCACAAAGACATTAAACTGGAGAGAAGTTCTCCTGTCAAGTGGTTGACCAATTTGAACATCAACCTTCATGCAGAAATTAGAGCCCTCGGTATGAACAGCACCATCCATTTTGGTCTTTAATAAAAAAGTCAAAGGAGAAACATTCTGATGTATGCAGATAAAACATGGTTGGCAAGGAAGAGGGCAGCTGGTAAAACCATTAGGGACACATGTCAAGAGAAGGGGAGAAAGAATAAAAGTCAGCTGATAAATATGAAGGATTTAGCAAAGTAAAGCTCATGGAGGAAAGAAAATGGGCAATAATTTGTTATGTCTAGACATCAATGCATTAGATCAGAGTGGGGAAAAAAAAAGACTGTGTGTTTCTATGTCCACAGACTACTCAGTTATCTAAAGAGATACGGGACGTGGCGGTAGGGGTGCTGGTGGTAATGGAGTGGGGCAAACTGTGAAACTGGAATGTCTGGCTGTGAAAGCAAGGGCTGCACATGAGACAAATTTTAAGTGCAGGAAAGATTGTCTTGTGTTACTTTATATCCCACCATCAACCAGGAGTGTTCCTATTATTGAATGAATGTTCAAAGTAATGTTATTTTTTTAAAAGACAGAAGGATCCTAAAAGCATATTTAGACAGTTTTTGAAGAGGTAGAGAAACCAACTGGGTATACAAACTCTTTCGTTTGATTTCAACTAGCAAGATACTAGACTGACTGTATTTCACCTTCAAAGTATGAGTCTTGACGAAACTGACAATAAAGGTACAAATAAACTGAAATTACAATAATTTTAACAAAGGAGAAACTCTGACAATGTTAAAAGACTGATAAGCAAAACTGGATACGGTTTAAGGTAAAACAAAAACAAAAACAAAAACCACCCTAGGTATTCAACAACTTGCAAATATAAACTTGGAATACAGAATAAGAGGAAGAGTACAGAATAAGACTGGCTAGCTTTCAAGAAAAACTAGGCAGATTTTCTTCTTGCAAAGTGACAGGTCCAGAGAAAGAAAGTAACTCCCACAAGACTAAGCAGAGCTTGAGGGTAAGGACCAAATCCCAGCCATCTTTTTATTGCTCAATGCTTATCGCAATGGTTGGGTAAAGAACAGGCATAGATAAATGTTTATGAAAGAAATTTATACCAAAATGTATAATTAGCATAATTAGTTCAAACCTAATCAGGAAAGTTTCTTAAAGTGGGATGAGAAAAGAACATAAGCAGAGTTATTCCAAAAAGTGGACTGAAATCCAGTTTTTCTCATTTTAACTAGTGGTTATAAACTTTTCAAGCCTTTTTTTTAAGCAATAAATTTTTTTTTTTAAAGAAGTCTACGTGGAATTAAAATGAAGCTGCCACTGGTTAAGCCAAAATCAGTGGGAATATCACCAGCCTCCAATTTCCAAGGCCAACCCTAAGGAGTCTCTATGGAATCAAATCCACTGTGAAAACCATCATTCGCCTAAATGTGATAGATAGCATGGTCCTTCAGTTCTCACGTTGTTAAATTGAGGAAATTACTAGCACTGTGAAGGAGAAATTCATAACTAATGTTGCTAATTTAAAGAAAGACAAAATTCAACAGAAAGGGTATCTCCCCATTTAGAAGAATGAAAAGAGCCCCTATAAAGGGGGTGCGGGAGGAAGGGTTAATAGGCCACTGCAGACAAAACAGAATGCAAAAACAGCATCCCATTATGAAAAGCAAATATGGGAAAAAGCCACTGGCTAGGATTACTACTTGGGCACTGCAGATACTCTTTCGTTAAAATACTCCAAGAAACTGGAACTGTGAACAGCCCGGAAACTGCTGTATATTTGGGGGACTACCTGAACGTGAAGAAGAGAAGCATACAAACAAATGCTTTTGGGGTTCAACATCTTCAAAGAAACTCTAGGGAGGTATTGCTTAAAAACATCTGTGTCACTAATGTAAATAGGCTCATTTGGTCTTTCTGTTAACTATACCCTCATCTGCTGATTTGCTTTCTGTGGTTTCAGTTATTCTGGGTCTACCATGGTCTGGAAAATTCTAGAAATAAATAAGTAAAAAACAAACATAACCATGACCATTAAATATATCCACAAAAATGTAGCCACCACCATGAAGTCAACTGCTTGACAGGTATAACTGTTTAATACAATAGGTGTTTCCTACAAGTTGAGTCCCAGCTTCATGCTGCAAAGAACCCCATCATAACTGCAGAGCAGTGCTCCACTATGATGTACTGTAACTGACACTGCGTCGCTGAACATACTGATGCAAGAGTGACTGCCAAGACCTTCTACTAGTTTCAAAAGTTGTTCTCTGCTCCCAGAACTGTTCCCAAGTTCTCAAGTAAACACCTCCAAGGGGCAGAGGCTCCCCTGGTTATCTCCAGCAGACCTGACAGTGGTAATAACTGGGACATTTACACAAATCACAAGATGCACCGTAGAAGTAGTAATTAGCGGGCAGCGGGAAGTCTGGAGGTGAGCAGCCAGACACTACAATAGTGAAAACTTGCCCAAGGCAGATCTGAAGAAGGGGTTGTTAAATGGTACTGACTGTGCAAATGACACACTTTACAGCAAGAGCTTGAAGAAATATCACTGAGAATGACATAAGAAGCAGTCTATCACAAAATAAGGCCACCTTTGACTATTACAAGTTGTAGAACCATTCTAATTCTCAAGTTTGGATCTGCGTAGAGGTGTTCATATAAAGCATTCATACCCAGAATGAGTTCCCTCTAAAATGAGCCTTTGCATGGGTGCCTTCTCTTTGTTGGGAATGCCTGTCTCGCTGGCTCTCCATGCAGCTTGCTCCTTCTCACGCCCAGTGTTAGCTCAAGCAACACCTCCTTAGAGAAGCCTTCACTCTCTTATGCTCTGTCACCCTATTTATTTCCTTCACAGACAAAGAAGCCGATAAAGAGTTATAGCAACTGTTGTTTCAGCAAAGAAGATACTGTCTTGTTCACCTTAACCCAAAGGCTAAGAAAGTTCCTTGCACATATAACAGGTGAGCAGTAAATACTTGTTAAATAAGTAAAAAAACACTACAAGTTTACAAGAACACATACATGTACACACAAATATTGGAAAGTGAGGAATACTTAACAGAAAACAACCAAATGCTGAAAGTACTGAAAATGACACCTGTAGAAACAGGTGATTATGTTTTCAAAGAACAAGTACCTAAGATATTTATTTTAAAAATATAAAAACTTACTAGAAGGGGACACCAGGAGTGGTTATTTTTCATTTCTATCGAGATGCAAACAAAATGTTTAAACAGCAATGACTTAATATTAGACTTAAGCGTTACTTGCTGCAGAATGGACTACCCACACAGCTTCTGGACTCTCACTGCAGAGCATAAAATGTGGTCAGTTCTAATAGCAACCATATATTCAGGATTAGTTAAGAACAGCTCAGACTGTAGGTAATTATAAGCTAAAAAAGTTGCTAAACTGCTTCTCCCCAGATTTTTAAACTTCTAGATGAATAATTATGTAAAATAAGAGATTTTATAAGTTGAATACAACAAACTTTAAAAACAGATGGCCCTTATCTGCTGACCATACCTCAGCATCACTTTTCTAGGTATTTTGCAGGAGCAATTACATTTACAAAAGGTCCATTCATAAAACAATCTGGTAACTAAATCAAGTGAAACTAAAATCAAAGAGCACTAGGTCTGCTATTGAAATATTTAAAATATCTTTTTAAAAAGAGTGTTTACATCTATAGATTGGCTTTTAAAAAAGGATAAATATACTGAAATAATTGTAGCATATCCCTGAAAATAATTATACTGCCACCTGTGCATTTTTTATGAGGTGTAAGGATAAATCAATAGACTGCTAGGTCACACAAGTCAAGTATTATTTGTTGAAATGTGGTGTAAGACAAAGCAACTTACTCCATATGAATTTTTACTGTACCCCAGAAGTGACCAGTGCTGGTACTATCAGTGCAACCATCACTGGCGATGGATGTCATGCTATGCTATTTTGGTATCAGGACAAAAGTAGGAACAGAGAAGAGGTTTAGAAAGATTTTCTGCAAGGCTTCCTTATAATGAGATTTAGCAGTAAACAAACAAACCAACAAGAATAAATGTTTAAGACCCACTGAACACATTAAGGTCAAGGATTTCAAAAGTTAATCCACTTTTCTTCCCCCAAGAGTTTATTTTTGGTAAAAGGCAGAAAAATTAGTTTTTCTACAAGGGAAATCTGCTCCTAATGATAATTTGAAAATCTTAATATATATATTATATATTAAAAAAGACACACAAAAATAACGGAGAAGTGGGAATAGATTAGGTACTGTAACTTTATAAAGGCTTGCCTAAATCAAGAAGCAGCACACACACACCTAATTTATGCAAACTAAAAATGTATATAAACAGCACAATACTGTGATACTGGATCATGATACATTACCTGTACACATAACTACTACTGTTATTAATAAACCTTTGGGACACTCAATTTTATGCCCAGTAAGACATCAGTAAGTCTTTAAAATCTTCTCTTCCTCCTTTATGGAAGGGTATTTCTAGACACTAATTTTCCCATCTAGTATTCGAATATAGGAAACCGATTCCACAAGGTGCTTTAATTGTTGAGACCTCAAGTGCTGCTTTCTCAGTTGAATTTTTGGATACAAACAGTCCATGGGGACCACACACAAATACTATGACAGAAGAGTTGTTACATTAAGTCTTTTGATGGGACTTGATTGGTGACGAAGCTTTATGACATGCTTGAGCAACGCACTGAAGGGGATCCCATCTGAGTTAATACTTTGTCCAACCACTGTAGAGGTCCATTCAGATGAAGTTCAATCCAGCAAGGAGTGCTCGTTACTGTTTGCCTTCTGTTTAAAAGAATACAAGCAAATAATTATGAAATTAAAAGAACATGAATATGTTTAGCTACAGGCAATAATAATTTAGGTAAAGTAAAAGGTTGTATATATTAAAACCTAAATTCTTTCGAACAAGTATTAGGTTTGGATATCTAATTATTTTAAAAACTGCTTAATCCTCAAAGTCTAACAAAGTATTTCCAACAACTTTTTTCTTTTAAAGAAACTTATAAAAAACATTCCTTTCCCCTCAAATTAAAATTAGTAGGGTGACCTTATTATTTACCATCCAAAATGAGACACCTTTATGAGAGAATGCAGTCACTATTAATAATCATGCCCAGGCAAGAGACATAAACCAGGACTGACCCATGCTAATCGGAATATATAGTTATCCTACTTATTTATCAACCACAGAATAGAAGACATTCAAGTACCAAATGAAGTCTAAATGGAACAGGGTTAAAGTATACCAGAACAAAATTCCAATCCAAGCTTATCACAGAATGTTAAGAGTTGTAGTTCAGCTTTCCTGGACAAAGCCAACATCATCTCTTTTAGGGACATCATGCAGACTTTTAGTTATAAACACCCTTAGTACTTCAACAAAAAGGGCTACTGCCTGGGAATCACAAATTGTTCAATAACAACCTGTCACTTCCATGCACTGATCTTACTTGTTTTATTTAATATACAATAAGTCAATAAATTTGCTTGCCTCTTCAATGTGGCAACCCTTCAAACATGAGAAAAGGCCATTATCAACATTCCACCCCCAAGCAACACATGCTCAATATAACTTAAAACTGTATTTCAAAGGATGCAGGTTTTCTGTAGCAGAGGGTGTCAATTCCATTATGCCTTTCAGATTTTTCAGTGTTCTCTAGGTGCCTTCCAACTGCAGGTATCTGCATTTACCTGCCTAAGAAATTCTCAGCTCTGTCCACATGGGTAGCAGACTAGAAATGCCAGGAAATTAATATCCTCAAGAGCAGCCTTCAAGCCATGACACAGGAACTGGCTCTTAAATGTCCAGTTTCCTTTCCCTGTGGGTGGGATATTTCTGAATGTTCTTTACCATTTTCCAAAGTTTTCCTAAGGGAATAGGCTGGGGCCCGCCCACTACAGTAGATGGATTAATAATGGTATTGGCTGCCTTCCCTCCCCTACCTCACTTCCCTACTTCCTCCTTCCTTACCAGTATTTCCTCCATTTCCTGAACAAACTCTTTGCACTTGAATCCTTGTCTCAGGGTCTGAGACACACACTAAGACATTCCTAAAATATGACACACAAAACTTAACACAACAGTCCCAAATCTGATTTGTACAGAGTCATCGCCTTGTTCTGATTTAGAGATACTATGTTTGTCTGTGCAGCCTAAGACTGCACAAGCACACTTCACAAGTTGCCTCACATTGTCCATGAGATGTAGGCAAGACTGAATCTTTCACACCTTCCCCTCCATTCTTTTTGTTCTGTTCTTCACGCAGTTTCTCCAGAGTTCCACCTCTCCCTCAGATCAGGACTTTGGCAGCGATTTTGTCAAAATCCCTTTTGCCATTTGCTGAATTCTGGATTTTTCCCCAGTTTGTTTTCAATCTAATCATTTTATTACTACATTAGTTTAATCTTCAGGAATAATTCTTAATCTAGGTCACTGAAGGGAAGTAATAAGTAAAGGCAGCTGTCACTATATCTATTTGGGCACAAAATTGCACTTAAAGTATTATCCATCCCCCTACCTGTTTAGTTGCTTCAGTACTGGTTCACTCATTTCTCAATAAAATATGAATTCTTTACACATCTATATTCCCTTTTTTATTTTTTTAATCCTCACCTGAGGATATTTTTTCCATTGCTTTTCAGACAGAATGGAAGTGAGAGACACAGAGACACACACTAATGTGAGAGAGACACATCTATTGTCTGTACTCGCCCTGGCTGGGGATTGAACCTGAAACTGAGGTACGTGTCCTTGCCAGAATCGAACCTGGGACCCTTCAGTGCGCAGGCCAATGCTTTAACCACTGAGCCAAATGGGCTAGGGCTATATTTCTGACTTTTATGCTGGGAATGGAACTGGCATTAAAGATACAAAAAAACAGTTTTTCAAGTCCAACAGTTGTATCTATCTCCTCAGATCCAGAGTCGTTTAAGATAAAAGGTTCCTGGTAACTACCCACAGTTCACAGATATATGGGTATCGGATGTTATCTGTAAATGTTTAAGAAAACGTCTTAATTATCCAAAGTAGATAGATGTGCCTGACTCCACACCCATAAAACCATACTGTGTATTAGTGCTTCTCATAATTACAGATTTTAAATTATTTCTGGGTTAAAGAATGGCAGAGTCCATAGTAAATGAAGGGCAGTATCTCTCTCTACCAATTTAAAATGCTCTTAGTAGGAGACCTATAGATAAACATGGAATTCTCCCTAACCTATTCAGTTCATATTTAATTCGACTGAATTTCTACCATGTTCTGCAATATTCTAATCATTTGAAGGGGGGGAAAAAGGTCTGACCTGAAATACTACCAGATAGTAGTATTTGAATCTAATTTTAGTATTAACTCAGGTCACTTCAAGTCCAAAGAAAAAAAGAACTCAGCACTCTTTAGAGGTATCACATCTCAAAAGGGAAATGATTAAAGCAAAAAGAACTACAGCAAAGTCACAAAGTGGATTTTTCTACTAATACAGCTTGGACAAAATAGTGAGGAGTCTTCATTTTAGGATATACATATATAACACAGAATATACTTTCATGAAAGTACTCAACCAACAGACCTCAAATCTTACCACCTCACACAACTTGTTTAAGATCAGAAATGAAGTACAAATGAAATAAATTCTGAAGGGCCCAAACTGTGGAATGAAATAGGAATACTATTGCTATACTATATAAACTTCTTAAGCAGCCATTCAAAGAGTGAGCAAGAGGTGGAGAGAGATCAAGTATTTTACTTATAATTCCATTCTTTAAGATGCTGAGGAAGTCTTCCTTTTCTTTGATGTGGAATCCAATCTATTGTAATTTCTCTTACCCCTGGATGGAAATTTTGCTTTTGTAAAACTAAATTACGTAATCGTGCCACTATCTCAGAGAAGAGGACAAGAGTCAAGGAGAGCGTCCTCAAGTCCTGTCTCTCCCACTTACAACGTGTCCTTGGGCACATTATCAAATCTCTTCTAAGCTTATTTCCAAATAAGTATTAGTTTGAACCATTTTTTTATTTACAAAGACTGCAACCTTATAAAGAAAGGATAGTAACAGAAATTCTTAGCAATGTTGGAAGACATGAGATACTGCATTTAAAACACAGCACAGTGCCCGGCACCTAACAAGTACCCCTTCTATTACTGGATAAAGTTGCACCTCTTAACCTTATATTCAAGTGGTCTCAACTTATCTGTCCAGCCTTATTCTTCAGTATTTTCTATACTTCAGGCAAACTGAACTGCTATTTTATTGCCAGAATGATCATGTGCCACACCCTCATAGCTGACTACAAAAATACTATGCATCTTTTAGAACCTACATGACCTCCACCATCTCTACCAGAAGCCTTCAGTAAGCCCCAGTGAAAACATCTCCCCTTCTATGAACCGACGCAATCCTTCTGTTACACCCCTTTTATTGTATTTAAGAATATGTATTATGTTACAGTACATATCTATATGTTTCAATTCTGTCTTCCTATTGCATAGGAATTCGCAATGTTTTGAATCTAGAGGCCTCCAACTTTCTTTTATTTCACATAAAGATGTGCTGACTCCATAACCTCAATGAAAAGAGACAAATGTGAACTCCAGAACATGCAAAGAATGGAATAAAAAAGAATTATAATGTGGAAATTTAAGAACTGAATATGTATTTCATACCGGTATTCTGCTCCCCACCCTTTCACAAAACTCATTCTTATGGTGCACATTCTAGTTAGCTGATACACGGCTTCAAACCCCTGATTAACAGACTGAGCCAGAAGAGCAGCAAATTCCTGGTTGTTGAAGATCTTCAGATTACAGCCTATGATGGCAAAAAGGAAAAAAAAATTGTGTAAAAAGAGTACCATTGTTAAGAACATAACTTTAAAAGGGCTACAGATATTAGAATATGAACATGCAAATTATCTCCTGGCTCCTAAAGTTAACAGCAACTAGAAATGACAGATTTACTGATGTTGTATCCATACCTGGTGGAATTTTACACACTGTTGCAGGGTGCCAGCCGTATCTCTGATTACAATTGGGGCTCTGCACAAAGATTGCACTATCACTTAGGCACTCAGCAAAAACTTCCCCACCTATGTAATATAAGCGCACTCCTCTTCCTAAAACAAAATACATACAGGATTAGTTTTATAACATTTACTATTTTAGCATGACTTTGGAAGAATCTTCTTGGAGGAATACTAAAATAATATAAGGTATTTAGATGACATTTTCCACAGCTATGCTTTTCTGAAGTCTAACTTTGAAACATACTATGGTATGTTTTCCCAAGTATTTCTTAACAATGATTTTATTGATTTGTAAAAATACATACTTATCAAAAATATTTAAACAATGTAGAAAAGTACATGGATAGTAAAATAAAAAACTTCACACCAGTTATACATTTTAAAATAGGTAAAAGAAACTGAGTAAATCTGGAAGAAATTAACTGTTTGGAGAAATATACCTTTATTACAATAAATAGTATTTCCTTTAAGATCCCACTAAAGACAAAAAGGTAATAAAAATCATCAAGCCCTGGCCAGTATGGCTCAGTTGGTGGAGTACCATCCTGTGCATCAAAAGGTCGCCAGTTCAATGCCCAGTCAGGGCACATGCCCAGATTGTAGATTTGGTCCCTACTCAGGGTGCATATAGGAGGCAACCGATTGATATTTCTCTCTCATATCCATGTTTCTCTCTCTTTTCCTCTCCCTAAAAATCAATAAAAACGTATTTTTAAAAAGTCATCAAGAGGTTAAAGAAAGGGAGATTATCTTTGGTGGGCCTGACTTAACCAGGTGATAACCTTAAAAGGGACTCGGCTGTCCCTGGTGAAAGTGATTCAAAGTGAGACAGACAGTCAACACAAGAGACTCTTCTCCATTGCTGAGTATGAAGATGGAGGAGGCCACCTGGCAAGGAATGTAGGTGGACTCTAGATGCTGACAGCAGCCTCTAGCTGAGAGTCTGCAGGAAATGAGGACCTCGGTGCTACAACCTCAAGGAAGTGAACCCTGCAACAATTGTGGCTGGACAGGGACCTCAAGCTCCAGATGAGACAGAGCTCAGATACTTTGAGTTCCTCTTTTGAGACCCTGAGGAGGCTCCTAAGCCATACCTGGAGTTCTGATGCACAGAAACTGTGAGAATAAATTTGTGTAGTTTCAGGCTAGTAAGCATGTGCTAGTATGTTACACAGTAAAAAAAAAAAAAAAAAAGAGAATAAAAGAACCAACAAACCAGATTTAATATATAAATACAAAATCTGGTGCCCTATCCTCTTATGACTATAGAATATGTGGTTAAAAAAATAATCACTTACTTGACCGTCAGGAAAACATTAAGTCTAAAAAGATTTTTTTCAGGCTATATTCTCTGACCAGAACCACCTAATAAACTAAAAATCAAAAGTAAAAAGATAATCTAATAATTACAGCAATAAAAAATTCTGCAGAAGTGATTAAGGTAGAGGAAAACTTTCTGTTCAATTTTTATGCAGAACCCCAATTAAAACACACCAAAAAACCCCCAAATATTTTAGTTAAAGTAGGGTGGATATGCAGAGGCCTTCCTCACCTACAGACCCTTGGTACCCTAACAAGATACACAAAATTTAAAAATCAAGCAAGATTTGAGAAACTGCACATGGAGCCAAATAACAGACCTCTTAAATCCCTAATACTATAGTTTTACACTCTTTAGTGACCAACATTATTTATCATAGATGATGGTTCATGCAATGGACACAGAAGAAAATGACTGTTAAAAGAAGTTACTTTAAGGTGATGAGAACTCTTTTCAGTTATATCAGTGGTGCTCAAACATTTTTTTTAACCTCAGTCAAAAAACAATACTGAAGACCCCAAGAAGTTTTCGTTTATGTAGATTACATCTATGGAAACTTACCAAACTAGATATTAAAACTAAAATTCAAAAAATTCATTAATTAATTCATTAAAAAATCAAATAAACTCAGTACATATTAACATAAGTACCATATTTATAAAAAATAACTCTTTTCCAAAAAGCAAAATGAACAAAAAAGTTAGTGAGAAGAGAAGCAATGTATTTTTGCAAATCTCTTAAATGTCTGATTAACAGGAGAATGCTGGAATTCTCATCAGTCTACATTTAATCTCTTGCAAGATCATATGCCATCTAGCTCCTGAATACTTCACTATGTATGTGAGACAGTGGAAGTGGTACCATCCTAGTACCACTATGAAAATAGTTTTGACCTCACAAGCTTGCTGAAAGGCTGCCGGGACTACCACATTTTGAGATCCTCTTGACTATTTTTTGAACTTCATTAAATGATAGTTCTTGTTTTAGATATCTTGCTTCAAAATGAATAATGAGATTTAAAATATGAACTCACTGACGGGGGCAATAACTAGGAGATGTGAATGAACTAAAAATAATCTGAACACGACAATTTACGCCTGCTACAGACTCTGTAAAGTAGTTATTTTAGCACCTATTTATTGAAGGACCTCTCAGTATCAAGGGTGGCAAATAAAAAGAAGTCAAGAGTTTGCAGAAGGAAAGGATCACCAGATCTATTAAAAGCAGTGAAGCTATAGGCTTAACCTGACAAAGAGAAGGCAGGCTTTCTGCACACAATCTCTTGATGTGGTAAACCACATAATGCTCACATTTTGAGTATATGACATTGGTTTTTCACACAAGGGAAAAAAACACATACCTATATGTCTTCTTGTCATTTCTACTGTAGCATTTCGGTTGACGTTGGAGAGTAAGCCTAAGCAGAACCTCTCTGAATTTGATGGATCTGTGAAGCCGTCTACAGTGAGTGAGGGCTGGGATGCATGGAAGGTCTCTCCAACCCTCTGGTTTAATTCATAATAGGCTATTGAACACCAAAATGCAGGTTCTGAGTAAGTGACTGGCTGCAAATCTGGGGGGGAAAACCAAACCCATAACAGTGAGAAATGCTGTGTGACAAATCAAGCCAAGAATAGATTGAACATCATCATCTTTACATGCCCTCTGCCAGCCTATCCTGGCAACAGCTCAGGAAGTAGACCTAACATCTACATCACAAACTCCAGTTTCCACAGATCATACCGGATTTTCAATTTCCACTATCTCATTAAATCACCCACTCTGCAAGACTCTTTTTTTAAGACTTTATGGGGGATCATTTGTTCTCCTAGTAGTTTTACACTAGTTCATGTTCAAACAGAAAACCATCCTAGATAAAGTAAATCAATTTACATAATAAAGCTAATTTTCAGTAGGATGAAGTGGAATAAAGCTGAAGTAAGGACTAATGAGTCCTTAATCCTTAATAAAGGAAAAAATGTCATAATGACAGGATACAAAATGACATACTTTTGACATTTATCTATTTTAACATCAGATTCTCATAGGTTACCCTAGTTACAAAAATAAAAAATCCTGGCACAGACAAGAAACAAAAAGAATGTGCAAGCAGAAGCAGAACATGGAATCAATATATTCCATGGAAAACCAGGATCCCATGTATTTAACCTCTATGATCGTGATTATAATCCATCACAAGGAATATCATTCAAAAACATTGACCATTTTTGTAGAATAATTTCCAAATGTGTCAAGAGAAACTGCAAAATAGCAAGGTAAAATAAAGGCCAAAAATAAACTACAGAATGTTTAAATACACACACACACACACACACGAGCTCTCACATATGCATAGCCCCTGAAACCACATGCACGCATTTGTGATATGTGTATATCAATATATTTATACACACACCTCGTATTAAAATTGCTATTACAAAATATGTCATAAAAAACATACCCACAAAAATCTAGTCACACTATGTCATAAAATTTACCGTGAATAAAGAATATGATTTCCATGAATAAACAGATTATTAATTTCTCATACTATGTGCAAGTAGAAAAGAAGTTCAGTAATATTGAAGCACATTACCAATATCATTTTTAAAAAGCATTAATTTGAATAATCACTTGGCTATTTATTGAGTTCCCTTTCTCATATATATATATTTATATAAAATAATGACCAGAGAAGACATTTAAGTAAATGATACAGTATAAAAACAGTGGGTGAAAAGTATTTGTAACTTACCCAGACTATGATTAACAGGGGAAAGAGTAGTAGGAGATAGTTCTGCTGGAGATCCTGAAATAAAAGGAATTAATTTAAAAATAGATGTGAAATTATTTCTAGAACTTCTGACCAAATAGTAATTACATAGGTTGTAATAAATGATCACAAATAATAATTTACATCTCAAGAATTAAAAATATACAGCTGCTTGGCTCTGGCTGGGTAGCTTGGTTGGTTAAAGCATCATCCTGCTACACTAAGGTTGAGGGTTCGATCCCCGGTCAGGGTACATACAGGAATCAACCAACGAATGCATATATAAATGGGACAACAAATCAATATTTCTCTCTCTCCCTTCTTCTCTCTCTAAAAACCAATCAATAAAATATATATATATACACAGATGCTTTATATGAGTGTAATTTTTGAGGCTTCACTAATATAAAAGGTAAAAAAGAGTATAAAGCAACCCTGGTTCTAGCCAGAGTTCCCCCTCCCAAAGGAATCCAGTGTATCTTTCCAGATTTTGTTCTGAGCCCAATTTTACATACAAATGTAATCTAGTTCTGAACTTTGCCTTTATATTACTTATTCTATCCGATGTTGTTTCCTTATTAATTACTTATCTAACTATATATCAGCTGCACAACATTCCATTATGATATATTACAATCCCATATGGATGGATACTCAGACTACTTTCAACCTTTTGAAAGACTGAAATGGTAGCAATCCTGTGTGAAGTTGTTTGCAGTTAGAAATTTTCTAGGGTTTATTCTAAGACATTTCTCTATTTCTCCTATAAAAGTTGACAAGATAGCTGGAGCAGTTTGGTAAGTTGTTTTTTCTTAAAAAATTACTCATGTCTTCCAGTTTATGTAAACAGGCTAAATCTAATCAAGAAAATATGGGAAGGGGGCCCAGATACACAAAGTAAGAAAAAGAAGGTACAGCGACAGACATAGAAAAAAAGAGACTGCTCAATCCCATGCAACTAAATTTGAAAAACATTTGTTGTAAATTTGTTAAATAATCATATATAATTATAAATTTTGTTTTCTAATCATTCTCTATACCTTTTGGGAAAGTTATCTAAAAGAACATGGCCTACAGCTCCCAAGCTTCACATATACAGCAATAGAGTAAATGTAGAATAACACAGGTCAGAATCCCTGTGTACCTCTCTCCTCTCCACACCATTATAACCATAACATAAAATACCAGGCAACACAGTGAAATGGTAACCCCCATATAAAACAAATGAATCAAAAAATAGAGAACAGGTGAAAATTAATTTGTAGGAGAGAGAACAGTCTTCCATAACAAATTAAGTTCTTATGGTTTTTTGGTTCCTCATTTTGAAAAATCTGTCAGCAAGTGCCAACAGGTACAACTAAGAAAGGTCAAAATATATTTAGAACAATGAAATAAAACTCACTGCTGTTTCCTGAAGATGTTATAAAATAAACAAAGCCCCTATGAGACAAGGAGGAAATTACCCAATTTTTCATTTTTAACTGTTTACTCCTCTATTAAATACTTATCAGAAATGACCAGTAGTTACAGTTCATTAATTTAGACTAACAGGAGTTCAATCAGATGTGATAAAAAGAATCATAGATTAGAAAAGGTTCACTGTAATCACACATGAAATTTTTAATAAATTAATGTAACAACTTATTAGCTAACAGAAGTTTTCAGAAACATTTTTTAAAACAAACAGATTACCTGATAATTAACCTATCAGTTATTCATATATACATGCTGATACTAAGGCCTGGAACTTCCAGTTATGAGTAAAAAAAAATATCCTATTTCACTAGTTTGAATCAGCAGTTTCTGTTACTTGTAGCTAAAACATCTAGAGAAATTGTTGTGCATGTATCTTTGTACACAAGTTCTATGTCACTCTCTAGTATTACCTTATATACAATACCCAGCATCCAATTAAATGAACACAGGAGAGTGCAAAGAAATAGAAAAACACTGACCCATATTCAAGAGAACAGAAGCAGATCTACATATAAACCAGACACTGGAAATATCAGATTAAGAGTTTAAATGAAAATTGTAAAACTGAAAAATAGATGATCTAAAATGAACTCACTATCTTGGCTTGACAGCAGACCATATGTGAGACCCACATATACATTATCACTTGATTTTCACCTAAGAAGCCAAGGTAGGTCAACAGAGAAAGAACAGTCTCCAACAAATGGTGCTAACACAACTAGACAAATGTCTATAGCAAAGGAATGAAGAGCAGAAATGGTAAATATGTAGGTGTAGCAGTCCCCTAATTCATGGTTTCACTTCCTGTGGTTTCAGTTACCTGGAGATATGAATCATCCCTCTGCCAAGCACATCTACACTATATACACTACCTGCCTATTAGTCACTTAGTAGCAGCTTAGGTTATCAGATGGACTGTTGTAGTATCACAGTGCTGTTGTTCAAGTAACATTTATTTTACTTAAAAATTATTTTACTTAAAAATGTTACTTGTAGCTAAAACATCTAGAGAAATTCAGATATGCCAAAGAGAAGCCATAAAGTGCTTCCCTTAAGTGAAAAGGTGAGTACAGTAAGATATTTTGAAGAGAGGCCATATTCACATAATTTTTATTACAGCATATTGTTATGTTCTTTTTAAAATTATGTTGTTCATCTCTTACTGTGCCTAATTTATAAATTAAACTTTATCATAGGTATGTATGCGTAGGAAAAAAACAGTATATATAGGGTTCTGTACTATCCACAGTTTCAGGAATCCACTGGGAGTTTTACAACATATTCCGTGTGGATATGGAAAGGACTTCTGTGTATATTCATCTTACTGCTCTTACCACATTTCAGCTATATTATAAAATAGCTATTTGTACACTAATTGGAATCCTTGTGGCCTTTTGTGTCTGGCTTCTTAATGTAATGCTTTCAAGGTTCATCCATGTTGTACCATGGATGAGTACTTCATTCCTTTATATGGTTAAATAATATTCCAATGTGTGGATATACCTCATTTAATTCATCTATTCATCATCTGATGGATAATTGGGCTGCTTCTACTTTTACATGAACATTTGTATACAAGTTTAGCATGGGTGTGTACAAATTTACGTTTCAATTTTCTTGGGAATAGATTTAGGAGTGGAATTACTAGATTATATTGTTATTCTATATTTTAATTTTTGAGGAATAGTAAATTTTTCCAAACCAACTGAACCCTTTTATACTCCCACCAGCAGCATGCGAAGACTCCAACTTCTCCATATCCCTCATCAACATTTGTCACTGTCCTCCTTTTTTGATCACATCCATTCCAGTAGGTGTGAAGTGGTTTGTCAATGGTTTTCATTTGCATTTCCCTGATGGCTATCATGGCATTCACTTTTAAATGTATAGGATTTGTCCATCATGGGGTAAACAGGAACATGGCTGATTCAGGAATACAGTTCTTCAATATATAGGTATGTTAGAAAGATATATTTGGAAAGCCAAATATCACTTGCAGTAAGACATTGGCATTAAGATATATAACAATTATTTCTAATAATCATTAGATTATTGATCTTTCTTGGTTATCTACTACTCTGAACAGCTGTAAGTATGGCTACCTATAGTGGAAGCTTCCTTACCTAATGGAAGGATTTAAACAACAGAATTATTATAAAAGCCTGCCCACCCGCAACCTTCCTCCACTTGCTAATGTTAATTCATTTAAAAATAACTTATAAACTGTAGAAAAGTGATGAAATAATTTGTCAGGTTGTAACATTAAGGTATCTAAGATGTTGGAATGGATCAAAATAGGCAATTACAATGGCATCACAGCTACTTCACTGGCAACCTAGTAGTTCTGTTGGGTTATACATTATACATAACAACTGTTTTAAAGCTTTGATGTGTGCAATATTTATTATATGTTAAAACGTTTTCTCCATTGTGTATGGAGTTGATCACTAAATATTAGAAACTTATTAAATTAGATGAGATACAAGGTACTTTCTGTAAACAATCTACTGCAATTCAGAATTCAGTATTATGTTAAAGGAGCACTGAAAAGTTGAGTCCCATCGCTTACCTCCAAATTCCTCTGAAAATCTGTTATTGCGCTAATTATAGTCTTTCATCACAAAGACATTTATTCAGAGGATAACTAAAACTTTCAACAGAAGCACAGAATACTTAAAAGGAGAAGTATCCAGTGTTCCCTCAAACTTTTATTTACTCTAACAAGAGAAAATCTTACCAATTATTCTGCTGAGCAGCGTATGTTAATTTTTCATGGACAACAGGGCCCTTTGATGGTGCAGACATAATTCAATCAAGATTTTTTTTTTAATGTGTCCCAACTTCTCTAAATTTAAGAGTTATGAATATAACTCATGAAAGTTTCAAATAAGGCAAAAATGGTTATCTAATTACTGAGGAATTTTGAATATTTTTACCTGTATCCATACTTTGGTTCAACTGTTGATCACTTGTTTCTCCATCTTCACTGATATATCCAGGAGGTGGCGTTTCTACAGAAGTGTAGAACAAATCACGTACACTTACAATTTAAATCTCACCTTTTCTCCCAGCTACCAAAGATAACCAACGAATAGCTCCGAATGACAAACATAAATGTTATAAAACATCGTTATAAGGAACAGTATTGGATACTAAGAGCTTAGGATTCAGGTCCTGCTCCAAATCTTATAGGTAAATCCTTAAAGCCTACTTGAAATACAATCAAGCTCTCAGGGCATATTTTCTTAGCTATTATTTACATATCTGGCTCATTCTCATATGTATATTTTCTGGGACAAGAACCAAAAATATAACTTCAAAAATCCCTCAGTTCTGGATCAGTATACTTCAAAGACTAGTGCCTATAATGTTTTTGGGTTTTGTTTTGAACTAATGGCCACCGTGGATGCATACCTGTATGATTAAAGGAGGCTCCTCCCCCACCCCAGCCCCAACACACGCAACTTCAGATTATAGAGTAATACAGGTTTACATCTACTAAGTGTTATAGTTCAGGACTGGTCTAGCTTGAATTCTACTCAAAAAGTCTATTTCTCCAGAGACTTCTAACCAGTAAGTCCTGAGTATTAAAGCGGAAAACTAAAATTAAATTCAAATACAGACTACTGAAAAAAACTGAGGCAAAATACTCCCTGAAAATAAGTAAGATTCTAGTGTGTCATTTCCAACATGTTTTATGAACAAAATATTTATTCAGGAGACATCTGAATACCCGAATGAGCTTCATGTAAAATAAAATAAGATTAAATGGTTATCAACAGTTTAATATAAACATTGCTGGACAGTTTTAAGCAATTTAAATAATGCAGACACATACCTAAAAAGAACTTTGTAATTACAAAAGAGAGATGATGTGGGTTAACACAGCATCTTCATTAACCCTTTACAGTCTCCCTTCAATAAGCTAACTACAAATTAATTTCTAAATATCAAATTTTTCATTTAGGTGTCAGTATCCCCAAAATTTTAATACTGAAATTCGAAGAATAAAATACCTACCTACATATGTTCAAACAACAAAGAACATGAAAATAAGAGCAATATATATCATTATGCACTATTTCAAAGGCTAAAGCTGATAAAATTAAACAGAACTAAGCTCTGCCAATCTAACAGCCTAACTCAAAGGTCTAAGTAGGAAGAAATACGTTTAAATACTTTATCCTATTTTATTTTTCTCCACTATTATTTATCTATAAAATAATAAATTTATTAGCATTTTAGAGAAAATATTAAAATTTCTTCTGAAGTAGAATCAAAAGTGAACCCTTAGGTTTTGCTATCAGTCAGAGCTAAGTAAACACCACTGTCCAGAAAAACAAGTACAATCCATTTTTTATTTTCTACTATGTAATATACCCAAATCTAAACAAATAAAGCAAGAACAAGTCAAAACATCTCCCACAAGCGAAAGCCACTAAGCATTTTGATTAACATCCTCCCAAATAATTACTGGGTACTCAGTCTTGTAAAACTGTATACTGACTTACACCTCAGTTTCCTAGTATTGCTAAGTGGGTTCCACTTCAAAGACTTAAAATGCCTCCCCCTCTCCACCCCATGCCATATACACAACTCTACTTCCAGCCAAATTCTGCTTCCTAGGAAACGTCCTGTGTTAGCCCTGTAGTCCCCCATCCGGGCCCTCATACTGCATCTTACTCTATCTATGCACTACTTCCTAAATTCTCAAAAAATATGTTTCCTAGCAACCAAAAAGAAGTCTTAAATTCCTCTTTTGGAATAAAATAGTAAATAAATGCACATTAAAACAATCAGAAGACACTAACTTTAAAATTAGCTATTCTGAAAAATCCTTATGTTTTAAAAATTGTCCTCAATGAACAAGTATTATTTCCATGAGACACATTAAAGAAATATTTTTTATGTACTTGAAATTCTAAGTTCCTTACATGTTTTCAGTTGCATAAAAATAAGAGTGGAAGAGAGGAAAATTACAAAAGGAGAAAAAAACTAACACCAAAAACCCAACGTATAGTTGTTTAATCCTCATCCTAACAGACCTTTAGTTTCTGCTTAAAAAAAAAAAAGGGAGGGGGGCATAAAAGTAAAAAAAATTAGTTGTCCTTCTAAAACACAGCGAATATGAAAAGGTAGGTAGCTACCGTATCATGGAATATGCTGCTGGGTCACATAACACAGTAATTAGCGCAGGAGTTACTGAGGTCCAGATGAAAAAGAACTACAATAGAGGTTTTCTGATTTTCAGTGTAGAACTAAAATACTTTATCTCCACTAGAAATGTTATAGTTCTCTAAACATTATCTATGAAAGTAATTATTTGGTCAATTTTTAATTACGTTTCAGGAATAGTTTTTTCCTATATCATTTATTTTGCTTACATTCTATATCTCTCAGCTTCAACAACTAAGACAAACTTACTAAGATCTTTTCTTTTCTGCTTCTCAGAGTACTTTGATTAAAGCCACTGCAAAAGAAAATGAAATATAAAGTAAAACTTTTCTCCAGACAAAAATGTTTAAAGTACTAGGTTTATACATTTAAAGAAAAAAATCATCCAATAGATCATATTTTTCTATTAAAAAATCTAAAAGCATTCTTAAAAAAGTCAAACCACAGTTTACTAATGCTTGAATGTTTATGAACAAAATTTGTACCTATCCCAATTTTTTGGAGATTCAAAAGGTAAAATACCTGGGATGTAATTACTCTGTGGCTCAATTCCTGCTGGGAAGTTAGTGTTTTCTGGAATGGAGTGGGTATAATCATCCAGAGGCGGTAGTTCTGTGAGGATCTCAGTGTGCCGTGGCACTAACACAGGAGGCAAAACTAGGAAGTAAAAACAATCCAAGTTAGTGGCAAGGAGCAAGGGGAGAGAGGAGGAACAGGATCTTTATTAAAAGTTTTCTCACAAAAAAGTAGTAGTAGCCCGTCCGGCGTGGCTCAGCAGTTGAGCATCGATCTATGATCCAGGAGATCGCAATTCAATTCCTGGTCAGGGCACATGCCCAGTAGGGGGCGTGCAGGAAGCGACTGATCAATGACTCTCTCATCATTGATGTTTCTATCTCTCTCTCCCTCTCCCTTTCTCTCTCTATTATCAATAAAGATGTATTTAAAAAAAAAAAAAAAGCAATGGAGAAATGCGTCCTTTTAAAAAAAAGAGGAAGAAGAAAGTAGCCTGCTTAATTTTTTTAAATTTAGGGCCCACCTATTTGGTATTATACAAGTTATTAAGAAATTGACAAATCTGACTATGATTTTAACTTACCATCTAGTTCACAATCTAAATTTCCAAGACTCAATTTATCTTGTCCTTTTGGGTACAAAGTGATCCTGGTAATATTATATTATCATAAAAGTTCAAAAATCCCCATTGGAAAGGTTGCAAAAATATTTGTAAAATCAAATTTAGAGTACTTTCTAAAACTATAGCTACAGTCTTAAAAAGTTTCAAGTACACAGCTAAGTAAACATAAAGTATTCCTATGAGTTTTACTAAATTGCTTAGGTAGGAATGACGTCATTAAAGTACTTAAAAAACACACTCAGAGAGCAAAATGACTAAAAACAGTTAATGCAGCAGATAGATAAACAGATTTATCAGCTTATTTCTAAGCAGACTGGAATTTCCTGTATGTACTTTGACGTGAAATAGTATGCTATCCCAAGAAACTACCTTTCCCACTAAGATATATTTTCCATAAAATATGTATTTTTTTAATTTAAAAAGTATTTTTAATGACCACCAAATAATATACTGAATTTAAGGTAATTTATTAGACTTTTACACCAAAATTTTCCTGGGTCAATTAGGTGTAAGAGCACCTAATATACATTTACTTTTTAAAAAAAGCATTTACTTTTTAAAAAAGTCTACTTTTCCTACCTGGTGTCTCAACTCTCTGGTAGTGGTAAGGGTTTACACATACTTCATCCTTTTTAAGATTAAAAGCATATTCGCAGTTTTCAATTGCTTTGAGTTCATGATGACTGTGAAGATCAGGCCAGCGCCATAATCGGCAATATATAACGTGTGGCAGCCCTTTCCGGTGAGATACCTGAAGGCGACCATCAAGAGACCTATTGGTAAACAAGGGGAAAAGAAAGGTGGGAGCTTTAAAAAAACAGAAATAGTCAACTGGACTAAATTAGTACAATAAAAGCACAAAGAAAAGAACGACAGACATTCAGTTAGTTTTAGTGAGTTCAAGGAAGAAAAATGTACTATTTAATGGATCTGACATAAGAGCAGCAGCTCTAACAGATGTTTCTTAAAACATACTACACAAATGACTCAAGTGTCAGTGAAAGGCTAACCATTTGGGAAAAAAAGATTTTTAAGAGTATCATAAAACTTTCTGTCAACTTTTATCTTTAGTAATTTAAACTGTTATTTAGGGATTCTTTTAGGGGGCATTAATTCTGTAGGTGACTGAATTATCAAAAAAGGAACTACTGTGAAGAATGGTAAATACCAACAATGATATAAAACTTACTCAAACTAATGTAACTCGTTACCCAGTTGTGATGAGTACTGAGGTATATTTTTATAGCTCACACATAAATGCAGATGGTGATGAATATGAGGAGATGATATATGGACAAATACCAGTATGCTCAAAAAGAGAATGAGGTGATTAAAAAGATAACATAAAAAAGAGTTAGCCTTGTGTTAATTGTGTTCAGTTGTCAACTATGTATTTATTAGTATACAGATGAAATTTAGATGACAGCAAGGAATTTAGCAAAACCTGGTTATGTATCTATTTAAAAATTAGGCCAACAACAGATCTCAAACTAAAATGAGAAAATAGTTATCAAAGTTCCTATTCTTTAGGGGATGCAATAATTTTAAAGAATCAAAATTAGAATTTCATTAATCAAAACTTCAGCTAAAACATTTAATATACTTTTAATACTGGCAAGCAGGTATTTTAAATGCTATGCCTTATTTTACATTAAGGTAACATCCTAGGCAAAATTATACTAAGCAACCCACTATAGGTCTTCCAAAACACCCTCCCCGCCCACAAGATTGCTAGGATTTGACAGAGGGCAGAATATTCACCTGGTTTGTTCAGAGAAGCTGTAAAGGCCTGTTGTATCCCACTGATCTATCGTATTTGGTGTACTCAGTCCCCAAATTTCAGAGCAAGTGCTGTGCATAAATTGAAAAACAAAAAATTGATGTGAACATGGAAGCATGGTTATTCAGAATACCATGATGTAAAACATGAAAAATGTACAGAACACTTCCTTCACCCAGAAAATATATACTGCTTCACTTTTTCACAGACATTTAGTACTGGTGTCTATATTTTCTATATGAAGGAAGCCAATAAAATGAAACATGTGACTCCAGATAAGTTATGATTATGTTTTTAAAATGTGAACACCAATGCTCTCTAGCTTAATGAAATCATACCTATAATGTCCTTTTCAATTTCTTCTACTCACAACAAAAGATCTAATACTAATGCCATTAGCCTTATTAAGGATGCTACATTTTACTATCCGTTTTTTTTAAAATCTTATCTAAACATAAAGTCAAATGGTATTTTTAATATACGAAAAATTCCGATTAAAATATATATCCACAGTTAATATTTTCAAGTTATTTGAGATACTTATATATTCAGTTTTACAGAAATTATTGCTCTTTTATCACAACAAAGGACAAGAAAGTAGATTTTGAAGTCATTCTAATGTAGCATAGCACCTTAAAAGTTTTAAGAAATTTCTATGAGAACTAAAGATATGTGAAAGTACCAAATTCTTAAAAGATAGTACGACTGAAAAATTTGCTGTATCTAGCTTTTTTGTTTTTTGTTTTTAATCAGTAAACCTGAAAGACACAGACCAGAAAGAACTCAAAATTTTTCCCTCACATTCCCTTCCAGAACCGGGGCAGTCTAGAGATAATTCTGTTTCCCTGCTACTACATCATTTCACAGTAACGCCTCATCTGTGGGAGAAGGGAAGAGCTTAAAGGCAGCCTGGAATGGAACTTTTGACTGCCAAGGTGTCTTAGGTCCTAAGTTTTACTTTTAAAAATTAGAGTAAAAAAAGGTAATTACTGCAACTCAGTTTCATTTACATACTACAAAATCATAAAAAATTTCAAAGAGGAGGAAAAAACATTTCAAAACAACTTTTGAGAATAAAAGCAAACAAGTGATTAAGTTCCAGATGTACACACTGCTAATGAATGAGCTAATTCATTCAACATTTCAAAAGCCAATGGTGAAAAGTACTGTCTTCCTGTGGCTGGGCAGCACAAATCCAATCATGTGGGGCGCTGGGCTTCAGGGCCTCTTGCATATCCAACCGGGATGTGGAAACATCTCATGCCATGCTTTGGGGCTACAGTCACTGTAACCCTAGGCAGTTTTAAAAAATGTATTTTCAGACACTCTCCAGCACCTTCAGGTATTTTACAGATTCTCTAGTTTTTTAGGTTGCAAACATCTATCTTTCATTTCCCAAACTGCAAAAGTCAGAAAAAGCCCCCCCCCCACAAAAAAAAAAAGGGAAGACAATTTAGACCTTTTCTTTTTTTCCCCCAAAGGTGTACTGACTAAGAAACCATAAAATAAATGGTTCTTTTATTTAAAATAGTTATCAAATAGCTACTGGAACCATCCAGCACCATGTAGTTTAAATCACAATAAGATCAACTAAATTCTAGACTCTTATGAATCTGAATTTAAACCTCAGAAGGCAAGGATACAACTTGCTCTTCTTTCCTGGACAATAACTCAAGAATAGTGATTAACAAAAGAACATGTCAAGAGGCTATTCTGCTCTTAGGAAGACCAGACTGAACGTTTCACTCCAGGAACTCTGGGACTGACACAGAACCAGAATCTAAAAGAAAGCATGAAGAGCTTAGGTTGTGTTTTACTCAAGCTTTGAAATAGAGAATAATAAACAGCAGGTGTTAAAAACATGCAATCAATCTAGAGGCGGACAGACCTAAATCCCAACTCGAACTCAGACACTTTCCAATTGCCATTATAGGGTATTAAGCCTCAATTGTATTCATTACTATAATCTCTCTCACAAAACTGAAAGATTTAAAAATAAATTTGCTTCTAGCTAGTAAAATGTTTGCTTGTTTACATAAGAAAAAATATTTTTTAAAAGAATTAATTTATAACAAAATATATAAAGCAACCAGAAATAATGTAACTATATAACTTTGTGTATCAAAACTACACAAAGTAACATTGTAATTATTACCAAAGGACACAAAAGTAAACTGAGCACAGAAAAATGCATACATCATCCTACAAAGACACCACAGTAACATCAGTTCTGCCAAATTTATGTATTTGATGCAAGCTCAAATAAATTTTAATAAATTTTTAATCCAGATAAAATTATTTCAAAAACAACATACCAAAATAAACAAGAATGACTAGGAAAACTCTAACAAAGAAGAGTAGAGACTGGCCCTACCAAATTCTGAAAACACATTAAATCCTCAATAATGAAAACACTATGCAGTTAGCAAAATATACAAATATAAATAGAATAGACGTCCTGCTTGTAGAGTAGCCTCAATTAAGCAAAACTTCCTTTGGATAAAAAGGATAGCCTCTGAACATAATAAAATCAACTATCTGAAAATATAATAAAATAAATACCTGAAAACAGCGGACACCAAAAACAGATAAAAACTGAACCTTTTTAAGAGGGAAAATGTATTGGATGAGAACTGCGTTTATGTGGCTTTGTACAACGAGGGGCACCCCACAATCTAAGCTAGGCAAGGTAATTAGACCTTAAGCAGAAAACTAGTTTTACTGACCAGCAGAATCAGACAGGGAAATTAGAAGGAAAAAGAATGGGAAAATCCCATAGAGAAGGGGGCAACAAGGGGAAAAACATCAATATATGAGTATGAATGCTACCCAAATCCTTGATTAACGCCTGAATTACACATGCATGAGAAAAGGTAGAGGCCTGCTGAGAACCAGCACCTGGAAGTCCGAAAGAACTCAGCTGAGATTTCAGTTGCTGCTTACATCAGAGGCAAACAATCTGGACACTGAAACCACCCAAAATTTATCCACACTCTTCAGAGGAAGATAACAATTAGTCTCTATACTGTTCTGTTGCCCAAATCCACTATAAAATCACAAATTACTAAACATGTGAAGAAATAGGAAAATGATACCCCTTAGTCAAAAGAGACAACAGCCAGTAGAAACAGACCCCCACCATGAACAGACAAGGATTTTACAGTAACTATCAGGAATATGTTCATGGACTTAATGAAAAGATGGGAATCTCAGCTGAGTAACAGTATCTATAAAAATGAATCAAATGAAATTCCAGAACTAAAATTTACAAATTCAGAAATAAACTGATTGTTGGAGGAAACAGAAGAGTCAGTGAATTTAAAGATGGGTCAATAGAAATTATCTAAGCAGGAGAACCTGAATTTAAAAGACTGTATAAAAAAAATGAATAGTCTCAGTAACATGTGCAATCCCAAGAAGAGGGGAATTAAGAACAAACCAGAAAAAAATATTTAAAATAATAACAGCTGCCCTACCCGGTTTGGCTCAAGTGGTTAGAGCTTTGGCCCGTGGACTGAAGGGTCCCGGGTTCAATTCCAGCCAAAGGCACATACTTTGGTTGCAGGGTCGATCCCAGGCCTCAGTCAGAGCACGTATAGGAGGCAACCAATCAATGTGTCTCTCTCACATCGATGTTTCTCTCTCTCTCTCCTCTCTCCCTTCCACTCTCTCTGAAAAGCAATGGAAAAAAATATCCTTGGGTGAGGATTAAAAATAATAATAATAATAATAGCTGTAATATTTTCACACACAAGTAATAATGCAGACAGATGAGCAAGTATGTCCAGGTTAGAATCTCATGCTAAGTTCTGCAGTTCTCTGTATAGAACATAATTTCTTAAAGGCAAATTATCCCCTTTCAACTCTGCAGCTTTCTTGCTTAGATAGACTGAATTTTTTAAAAAAATTCTGGGGAAGAAAGGTTAGAACAGCTATTAAAATCATCAGGACTCTAAAATGCCAAAGAAGTCTTCATGGCCTACAGTGTATTAATTGATCACCAGACGACTTGGTAGTAAACCTGGCAGAAACCTGTACAGAATTTCCCTACTATCACTTTTACAGTAAGTATCAGGAAAGTTAACACATTAAAGCTTTTCTTCATTTAATAAGCTGACCTTTGAAAACTGAAGTTAAAATTTAAAGTCTAGTGTACAATTTACCAACTATATACATGCACAGGTTAACATTTTGCACTTTGGTTCAGACAGACATCTGTTTGTTAATTGATTTATATTTTGTATTAAGGACATGTATATTTATTCATGTACTTGTTATCACGATATGAAAGAGAAGCAGTAAGAACTAAGTTCAAGAAAGTAACACTGATTTTGAAGGCTCATACCACAGCATCATTTGTTGAAAAGACTTGCCTGTCCCTACTGGACTGCTTTGACATCTCTGTCAAAAATCAAATAACCATATAACTATTTTGGGATTCTCTATTTTATGCCATTTTATTTTTGTCTTTATGCTAGAATCATGCTGTACTGATTACTGTGGCTTCATGGGACATCTTGAAGTCAGATCATTTAAATCTTCTTTGTTGTTCTTTTAAGATTGCTTTAAATATTTTAGGTCCTATGCTTTCCATTTAAATTTTAGGATCAGTTTGTACTTTTCCTTAAAAAAGTTTTTTTAGGGTTTGATATGAATCAGATTAAATTGGGAGAGAACCGACTTCCTTGTTCCAAGTGTCAAATCCTCCCCCCCCCCCCGAAAAATGTCTATTTTTATTTACTCTTTAACGCTCTTGTTGCTGATGTTATTGTTTTAGTTTTGTGTAGTTTACAATTGTTATCTGAGGGAGTGTGAGACTGGTAAAAGCGTATCTGGCTATACGAGAAGCATATCTGGCTATATGAGAAACAGAATTCCATTGTTTAGTCTAATTTCACCAAGGTTTTGAAATTTCAGTATCTCTTGTGCCTTTAAAGAATGTATTTCTAGCCCTACCTGGGTTTGCTCAGTGGTTAGAGCATCGGCCCACAGACTAGAGAGTCCCGAATTCAATTCCAGCCCAGAGCACATACCTCAGTTGCAGGCTGGATCCCCAGCCCACCGGGGCACG